CGAGAAAACCGCTTTGCCGTAAAGGGCTTCAGCAAAGTCCTGAAGATGAGGCACGGGGTACCGATCAGGAACGGTAGTGCTGTTGAGGGCACGATAGTCGCCACAGGGTCGCCAGTCGCCTGATGTCACCTTGGGCACCATGTGCAGTGGGGACGCCCAAGGGCTCTCGAACGGTCGAATTATTCCCAGTTGCAGCATGTGTTCAAACTCCGCCTTCGCGGCCTGAAAACGCTCCGGTGCTAGTCGTCTCGGTCGAGCAAACACGGGAGGACCTGAGGTGCGAATATGTTGCACAGCATCATGTTGAACCTCACCACTGCGAAACTGGGGGTTAATTATGTTGGGTTGACTAAGAAGCAGTTGCCGAAAAGGACTAGCAATATCCGTATCCAAAACAGATAAGTTTGTGGGGGTTGTAAAGGGAGTTAGTCCACGAACAAACAGACTGGTTGTGCGGTCGAGAAGACGGGCACGTCGACAGTCAACAAGGAGATCAAACTCGGCAAGAAAGTCCGAGCCGAGGATTGCATGAGGGACATCAGCACTCACAAAGATCCAAGTTAATGACCGACGAAGGCCAATGTTCAGGGTGAGGGACAGATTGCCAAAAGTGGGAATTTGGGAATAGTTAGCAGCTTGAAGATGAAGACCAGGGCTAGGGAAACGACGATCAGCTGCAGTTGGAGGAACAACACTGATTTGAGCTCCAGTGTCCACCAGAAAACGTCTGCGAGTCGCAGTGTCGCAAACATAGAAGGTGCGATCAGAGCCGGAAGAGCCAGAGAAAACGGTCGCATCTATTCTCTGGCGGACTGGTTTCCCTGTTTTGGCTTAAAAGAGCAAGGTGTGGAACAGCGACGGGCCTTTACGCCGAAATTAGTGTGGTACCAGCAAGTATCAGCAGTCCGAGGTCGGGATCGAGAACGACGACGACTGCGTGAGCGACTGGAAGTTAGGCGGGCGAGCTGTATTTGAAGGGAGGCCATCCCATCCGCCATGGCCGACACCTGTTTCACTAGATTTTCATTCACTGACGATGAAGATGAGGAGATCTGGGCAACGGAAGGTGACTGGAACCGTTGCACTTCTATCATTCGATTCGCCATCTCCGCTAGCTGTGATACCGTAAGATCCTGATAACCAGATGACAGAATCGTTTGAACATCTGCGGGCAGACGCTCTAGGAACATCTCCTTGACAAATTTATCCTCAACTTGCATGTCTCCAAGGAGAGAACGCATCCGACGTAGAAGCTCTGAGGGCTTCCGGTCACCCAGTGACTCCTCCTTAATTAACTGGTGATATCTCTGTTGGTCATACACAGAAATTACTCGGAGGATTTCTGAATTTAACGCGGAGTAGGGAGCATCTGCAGAAGGATTAGATAGCAAGGACTGAACTTGAGAAATGACACTAGCGTGGAGGACCTCCACGAGTTTGTGGTATTTTGCAAGCTCCTTGGTAACGTTGGCAAAATAAAAGGCTGATTCTATGCGGATGAAGTAAAGTTCTGGAGCGTGTTGCCAGAATTCAGGCAAGGTAAAATTGATTGCATGAAGCGACTGGGCGGGGGCATCAAGTTGTTGATCGGAGTGAGACATAATAAGACAGAGATGTCAAAATACCAGAAATCGTGAGGAAAGTAAATGTAAATGGAATAGATATTCACAAGCAAATAGTACGTTAAATGTTATCCAGTAGGACAGAAAACGTCGGGGGTCACCAATGTCGTAAGTGGTAATGTTCTCACAAACTAACGAGTTATATCTCACGAGCCCCTAGCCTTAGGGCAGCAAGTAAAGACGGAGCAATGAATAATATAGAGATTTTAAACGTTAAGAAAACTGACAACAGACCACGACAGAGGAGCACGTTAGCAACGCGGGTTGTACAGGTGTGTCGTTTTTCGTCACATTCAAACAAGCAATGCGGTCAAAGAAAATGGGACTAAATTGTCAAAGGTAAATTAGTCAGGTACCTCACCACAGACTAGTAAGAAGGCTGCGGGGAGTTTGAGTCTACGGACAACAATAGGACGTCAGAGCTAGCGGTCGCATTTGTCGAGGATGTTCAGAAGCTTTTCGTAAAAGAAGAAGAAGAAGATGCGACCACAGGAACAGGTATATTGGCCTGACCTTTCGAATTATCATTCGAGCCTATTATCAAAGACAGCCGTTGCTTGGGAGGGCATGTGTACTATAAATGACACGGGAGGACAACTAACACTAATTTTCGGCCTGCTCCTCTGGACTTGAAGAATTCCTCGGAAGTCGCCAGTCTACTTCTTACTGCACCCGGAGTTGGGGTTACGCCAGAGGCGACGTTCAGACCCCAAGTCATAAGGTCGAAAGAACAGTTGTCAAGACAGGAAGCGTCTGAAGTACTTTACCGCCTGCGGTGCATTGGCGGATACAGCAACTAAGGCAGAGAAACTGGGAGATTACTCTGGACACCAGTGTTCGGGCACACAGCAGCAGTAATGCGAAAAGACGGCATCCGGCCACATTTTCAAGTTTCAAATGCAAGCGCGTGGGCCGAGGGCTGTTCGACTCATGGGTCTACGGTAATTTTTGAAAACTAAAGCAAATACAAATCTTCGGGATACTACATTGCAGCCCTTGCGCGCCAACCACGTCCCGCGCAAGTACCCCGTTGGTGACCCGCCTTACCAAACGAAAGTTCATAGTTCCAACGGACTGAAACAGGTGCACGCGCACTAACGGAAAACTCCTGCATGCTCAGTGAAGCAGTCGCGTTTGATTCTGATTTATATTCAGTGATTTGGCCTGCTAATCCTACTTTACTTGAGTCATTAGGCTGAGCAACGCGCATGATTCACTAAGTTCATGACCTTTTAGTCCGGTGAATACTGTAAAATATAGAGACTTAAGAAGTGATTGGCGATTTCTGCAAGTTTTAGTCGTCTCTACTATATGTGTCGATTTAAAAACTGCCTAAGTGTTAAAGGCATTGAAAAGCTAGGACTCCATCCATACGAATTTAAAAATATTTCTGCTGTTCACAAACAATTGTCGCAAGAGGTGACAACCGCGTAAGCCTCGAGCTGCTCGAGTCATGGTTCTAAGGACTGCAACCATAAACCAGCACAATGATCTCCCGGTACCCTATTCCGTACTGCGATTTTCCCTGGGCAGGAAAATCAGTCACGTGGGGAGGGCGCGGGCGAGCGATCATCACAGTGACAGTGAGCCAGTTTGCCGAGCAATCGTCACACCAGCATTCAGTACGGATGACGAAATCACGGCAATTAACGACTCGGACTTGGACAGACAAGCCACCAACGCATCAATTACGACCCCAGCGGTGATTGCGGGAACGGTTAATTGCAGTGTGCAAACGGTCCCAGGCAGCCACGTGCTATAAATACTGCACTCCTGGTGCCACCATCACCTTTATCTGCGAATGTCTCTGATGATGGATTGGAGTCAGAATCCGAAAAGTCAGGCAAATAGATTTCTTGTTCCAGTGATCGCATCTTCATCTCCTGAACCGCTACCTGGAACTCGCCTGCACGCTTCTATCAGGAATTGTAAATATCGTCGTTCTGAGGTAGCGTACTGTGTCCTCGCGAGATTCTGTTACTACAAATTATATCAGTTGACAATAAATGTAATGCGTTTCATTACTCAGTCATAATTTTTTTGACTCGACTGCGACTTTTCGAAAATATAGGCTGCATTATCGGAGTTCGAGATTTTAAATCCTATGGTCAAGCACGTATGTATAACAAATATTGCTAGACACGTAGTTATCTAAAGGTGGCGTGTGTTACACAAGTATGCTTATAACTTGGTATATTTGTCATGGCAGTTTGTAGTTTACGGGTAATAATAGATAACATAACAAGCAAAATGTCACCATACAAATCAAATCACCAAAGCAGGCATAATTTATTTCTGAGAATTGAATCTAATTATTTACTGAAAATTTTCGCGTTTTCGTCTTCGCTGCTTTTCGTGAGTACATTTTCATTGCAAAGTCTGTAATACTGCATCTGCCGGCAGGTGGTATAGTATGTAAACCCCTGTGAAACCCTTGGTTAGCTATGATCCTAAAGACAACTGTGACCATGGAGGTAATAGGTAACCGTATGCCTTAACCCGAAGGTATTTAAGGAACAATTGAGCGTAACCGCAACCCTGACCCTAGGCCATAAATCCCTAATGCAAGCCCTAAAATCCTTGTCAAAATAAGCATACCAAAAACCCAAGGCAGAATCGATACACATTCCAAAGAGGGACTCAGGACCTGTAAAAACGCCAACAGTCCCAATTGCTGGAGAATTCTATAAAGCATGTGATCTGCTATCTCTCATGAGTTCATTTCCAAAAAAACATTTTGAACCAAGACGAAGGCGCAGAAGCTAGTGCCAAGTGTTCCTTAGCAAAACATGGAAAAAAGTGCTTCTGTGTCTGAGCGCGAGGCAGCGACATAGGCAAGTGCCTGGTTGCACTGTGGGATGTAAGGTCGACGCCCGCGCGATAAAAAATGGAGCAAAATAACTGTCAGAATAATGTACAGTAAACAAATCATAACTTCCAATGAAAACAGTCTGATTCTCAAGGGCGAGGTCACCTGTTGGATAGTGAACTGGACTCTTCATTGGCATGGTATAAATAGATTCATAGGTCCGCTAAATGAGTGAGGAAAAGTTATTTCCACGCAAACTACCCCACATGACCTGCATCATCCGTCATTCAATGATCCTCTTGACTGCGACTATTGCCCTGATCTTGCTTAATGTCCACTTCTGTAGCTGCTGTAAGTCGACAATTTCTGACAATTTCCTCCCTATTTTCAGCTGGATTCGTGCTAGCTGTTAAGCGACATACCAACATCGACCTTGCTTACGAGGTGCCAGCATCCTCCCGGGTATGTAAAATGTCGAAATTTGCTTTATTAGAAACTGTAAATTCGAAATATTCATGTGGTTTTCTCCTTACAGTTCAATTCTTCGGCATCAGGATTTGTGCATGGAACGGCAAGGCATCCCTGCGATCCTTCGATTAAATGTGTAGAATTCTATCCAAGTGAGTTGTTGAGCCTTTTACATTTTGTCCCTTTAAATTCGCAAACACAAACTGACACATCCACGACACAAATGCAATTAAATGCGGTCGCTTTCTGATCGATGCTCAGATCACTTATGGTACTCTACAAATAGTGCTTTCTAATATAAGATATAGGTAATTGGTGAAATGTTTTTTTCTGAAAAAGGAAGAAGAAGTTTTCTGATCAATGACGGAACATACGGAAACTACTCTGCGGTTATTCTAACACCCGAAAATCCTGAAAAGGCAAAAATTGCGATCGTCGTAGTGAACGCAAGGGACTTCTTCCCAGGTATATAGTCCAAATTTTAAAATAATTCGTGAAATGTGAAGCTCGTTAATAAAACCAAACAACAGGGACATCTAAACCAAACATATGTCATTTCCATTTCACAAATCACATTTCTCTTTTCTTGTCAGAGATCCGCGGTGTCCATTACATAAAACCCATTGTCGCACAACCGGGCTATGCGAGACCAGTTGCTGTTGTCATGGATGAAAATATAAAGGTACCAAAAGACCACCTTCATTTCAATTATGCTGAAATATTTTTGAGATTTACATTTCACTTAGTTATTCATCTGTCAAGGTCAAGATTGAAGCGCAAAATGTTAAATGAACCAATGATCTTTTTTCAAGGAGATTAGGCTGCTGGGAAATATTAGCAGATATAGGTCGTCTTCAAGCACGAAGGGGCTGAAAATAATTATTCCCTATGGTAAGTTGCGCTCTACGTTGCAATGCTTAAGATCCGACGGAGATGATTAATTTCACTTTCTATTTAAGAACCAGTCGACGGTAAGAACTATAAAATCATGCGAGTAACAGGACGTGCGGAGACAGAGAACCTAGCCTTTTCTCTGAAAGATGACGCTGGGAACAAAAAAACCTACCACTTTCTGGTCTCCGAGGGCGCACCCATCTTGATGTATCCCACACATTTTCTCAAATGGCCCAACATGTACAAAACATCAGGCTCATTGCAAAACTTCAAATGCAGCCTGTTTCTTACAATATTTCTGATTATGGCTGTGCTCTTAAACAACCACTAAATAGCCGTCTCATTGGAGGCGTAATTCAAAGCTGTCATCATTCCTTAATAGAAATTACAACTGGACAATCTTTATTCTTCTACCATTCGCATTAATTATTGAAAGAGTTTTTGAAGGCATCCGGGCAGGTTGATTTTTATTGAATTTGAGCCTTTAGTTCGACCAAAATGCCGTTATAAAATTGGATTAAAGTCGGCAACATGACTAATAATCCTAGTGACTACAGCATGGTGAGTAAGTTGGCGGAATAATCCGATGTAACCATGTTCGTAACGCTTGGAGTGAGTCAGCAGTCCAGTTTGAGGTAAGTGTGGAGGGCAGACGTCACGCCGTATTCCAAAGGAAGATTAAGCATGTCAGTCCGAACGTTGACAAGATGTAAATACATACCTATAGTATTAAAAATGTAATCCCCATGTGGTATATTACATGGTGCGGAGGTGTTCGCCAGTAGGCCTTTATGAAAGGTCTGACGTTTTGAATAGTTACTTCGGTCGGATTTTATTTTATATCCGCGCCTGCAGTAGGCTAGCCCCCCGCCACCTATCATACGGGAGCGGGTGTAATAGAGAGTTTAACACTAACCTGTACTTTAACCCCTAACCCAAATACATAACTTTTAATCTTGACCCTAACATCTAAAACTTAGCACCAAACACTTACCCTTAACCATAACTCTAACCCCCTAACAGGTGCGCCAACGAAATGAGATCTTGCCATTACTTACTATACCCATCTTCAAAGACTGTAAAGTCGTGCGCTGCAAACGCGGATGCACGAGCATGCGAGGGTCGGATTCGAATTCGGATGTAGCAACCCATGCCGCGCAAATGGTACTTTGAGGCCGTTGAGATTGTAGACTTGGGGCGCCAGTCATACGGCAAGGATGGTGCAAAAAGCCTGGATGTCCACCGACTGCCTTGTCAACCGCCACATCAAGTTGGCTCCCCTCTATATGTTTTGACGAGGCTTCTTGTCGGGGACAGTCACGGCGAGGGACAATCAGAGCCGTCACTTATTCTTGCGACCGATAAGGGTGGAGTCGATTGAGATAACGGTGATATGCGGGTCGGATGCAGTCATTGAAATCAATTTTCTCAGTGGGGCCGCAAACAGCATGCTTGCCCCGAGTTTTCTTCCAGGTGCGCAGACGATGTTTAGTGGTTTTGCGCGCATAGCGTAGTAACTCAACTACCTCCAATTCCTAAGAAACAATGACTTCGCGTCTTGCCGCGCTGATAGGCTGAATGAAGGGGGATCGACGGCTTTGCAACGCGCAGAGATCTCTTAATTGCATCATTCAAGATGCCTTTGTAAACTGCATGCTTCTGATGTTTCTTTTGGTCTCAGAATACGGGCTGTCCTCTGCGCGTTGTCTATTGTGTGTTCTTTAGGGTGGCGCATAGCTCATTTTTTGATCTCACTAGTTGCTAGTGATATTGCGATGCTGGAGTAGGTGGAGATATCACTGGCATAGACACGTGTACAGCCTACGCAGTACTGCCTAAAAGTAGGATCTGTACCACGCCGCGCGCATACGTGCTTCGATTCTGCTGTGTGCCCGTGACTGCACCTCATGCGCCTGACGTCATTCGCCTGTTAACAAGGCTGCTGCCCTTGAAGGTACACTCACGACCAATGAGAAATTCAGCTCACCTACCTTCATACACATGTGCACTATCTTCCCTCGATCAGCGGTTCACGCCCTCACCCTAACGTCTTCTCAATCCTGACTAAATACCCGCCTTAGCAGCTCTCAGGCGCCAAGCTGGATGTCAAACAGTGTCTAGGGCAGTTAAAATAACTGCTCCATCAGGATAGAGTACATTTAGTCATCGTCCTCCAAAAGCCGACACGGAATAGTGAGGGCGAAAACAACAAATTTGCTTAGAAGCTCCAATAGCCGATAATTGTATTTTTATAAGTATCCGGCTAGACATAACTGCCTACTTTACACAAAGGTACAGATGAATTTTGAGGCAAACTTTGTTGAGGACATCATGTGATGTAAAAGAGTTGCAAAACGACATTATGTATATTTATAACCTTACAACAGACGGTCATTTTGCAAACCACTATCTGGGTAGGAGTTGGTTGCGCTGTCCTAGTTCAAAGTGTAAGAGAAATGTGGGCATTGTAAATGAAGTAATCCAAATGACGATATGGAATTCGTAAGTGGGAAAGTAGCCAAGGCTGAAGATGAATAGGAAAACTTGATGTTCCGGTTAATGGGTAGGGCTAGCTTTAAGGTTGGGTTAGTATCAGGCTGAGAATTCAGTTGAAGGTTTGCGTTTGCGTTAAATTTAAGGGGTACGGTTGAAGTTAGGTTTTTGGATTGTAGTTTAGATTTACGTTAAATGTTTAGATGGTGATTAGGGTTTATGTCAGAATGAGGGGTTAGGTTAAGGTTATGATTTGGGTTAGGGTGAAGGGTTTGGTTTAGGATTTGGGATAAGGCTTATGGTAAGAGCCAGAGTTTGCAGATGCGTAGATTTCTAACGCTGGCAATTTGAGGAAATCAGCCGAGCGAACTTCTGCATCATCGTTTGAACGCTGATGTCGCACGCACGTACGCAGCTATTAAAATAAGTCAATTTTTTACAAACACTCCGCTTCTTCGAATAGAAGGTAGAAATTGATTGCATTCTCAGACCTGTTCCGTGTGCATTCACGCCTTCACTTGCGCCTGTGGGGCAGCTTATATTAATTGAACAACTAGACATCCATCCATGCGAATACGAGAGCACCATCCTGCTTGGCTAAATCGAGGTGTGGAAAAGTCCATCTGTACCGCGGCTGTGGCACGCTTGTTTGAGAGTGGCCATTAGCTAGACGTCAATTAAGCATTCCGAATAGTCTATGAAGTACCCGCGAGATACTCCAAGTTCCTGCATCAAGGGATACTTGAGACGGCAGAGACAGCGGACAAACGGTTAACCAACCCGACTTAGTACTCACATAAAATATTTGTACAAGCGGTAAGGCTCCCCTGGCCAAAGACAAGACCCAACATATGTCTTCACACAGACGATTTTGCGTTACGCGATAAAACACGAATAAGTAATTGCCAGACAACTTTACATTCCCCCCCCATACTCCCGAACCCCCTGAATGAAATAAACTCTGACGCCTGGCCTCCGAACGTTCCTCAGCCTTCTCTCATATACTGACTTTTATTGGTTGTTTAGTGTTTGCTACTTTGTCCTCCCTTATGTTACTTTACCAGCGTGATGTAAAGCAATCGAAAACGTGCGTTTATAAGCCCATAATTATTAAGAATTTCAAAATGGCGTATCAGTTTTCTGGTTTTTCGTTGACTCTTCTGTTGTCTGTCCCAAACTGCTGCTTCATCAGAAAATCAGTCTTTGTGGGGCGCTGCATGAAATCCATAATCTAGTTTGGATTCAAAATCTGAGATGCTAGTTTACTTTCTAAAACAAAAGAGGGTCCCTTTTTCAGAATTTTGGATAACATTTCGAAGAAAAGCACAGCAGTTCGCCAATTAACTGCAGAAAAACAAGATTGTCTTTAAAAAACGGCTGCTGAAACACAATATTTACTAACTCGCCTAAATTGTCCACTACATCAATAGTTGACCGAATTAAATATAGCTTACATAAGGACGTAGCCGCTAACATACTGAGTCATCGATATTAAGAAGACCTCCATCCACCAATTGAGTCATCGGCACTGGGCAGAATATCAAACCGAGTTTTCGAAATGTGCATGCGGGGTTTGATTGTGTAAACAGCGCTTGTCAAGACACGCCTGCTTAGATAACCAGGGGACCCTGTCTGACGCCGCACTAAATTTGCCCAATGCGGTCAACGTGGATGTGCCAGATGTCATATAGGTTGCAGTGGTAGCAGGCAATCCTGTTGATTTCCTTGCAAAGGTACGGCTTATGACTCGGGTTACTGAATTAGGGGAACAACTGGGCTAAAAGGAAATAGTTGGCAATACTTATTTTTGAGTGCGCGGTGTGTGTTGAGTAAGGGTGTCAAGATGCTTTGGGGTAGTCATTGACAATACAATGCTTTTTCAACAATTCCCGCAAAGATGCATTAAATTCACTTACTACTATCATTACATGGCAAAAGTAGTGTCAACTTTTAAATGGTAACAATACTGTGATACAATGAAGTCCTTAGGTGTCCAGTTTTTTTTCCTTATCGCGAGTGCTTCTCAGCGTTAAGTAACGCCAGGTCACTAACGATGCACTTGCCGATTTTCTTACCTAAGGCATGCTGTTACTATAGAGATGGTGCTGCCGCCGAGAATATTCGGCCATGCCCTAAAAATCAGCGAACCGTTACGTGTCCAATTATTGTTTCTCCAGACCGACCCTGCGGTTAAAGCGAACGGACTGTGCATCAAGTAATACAGTATGCGCTCGTTGTGAGAACGTCGCTGAAATACCTTATACTGTGTAGAAAAGGCCGATGAGATGGTTTAAACACAGATTTTGTTGGCTTTCCAACCATATATACGATGTCGGGGTTGCTGTCCAAAGTTTAACGCTGCTGATTAACCGGAGTCGGCGACAGTCTCAGACAAAAGTTGGTTCGACATGACCCATGACTTTTGTGCCCTCAGTCCTGTTCACTATGGGGTAGGGAGAATCGACTTCCTCAGCTACACACTCCTAGATAGACGCGTATAGGCAAGTTCCGTCCGATTGTGGTTAATGTCAGCTAGACAGAACATGATGGCAGCAGAAACATATGTATTGGGAATAGGTTAGGTACGTCCAAAAACAGTAACATCTGCTAGGTGCTTTAGGACGTACCGCGCTTATAGGTCTGTTAAATATGGATGTTGCCGGGCCTCTTGGATAGCTGGTTTACCGTGGATGTACGGTAGATTGCATCTTTTTCACCTTGCATACCACGGCTACAAACTGCGGTCCGTAATGTTCAACAGACTCCCATCGGTGGCTCCTCAGGTCTAGGCTCCACCTAGCGGCCACATTCCACGGCCAGCTATTTGGACCGCATAAG